TGCAGTGCGGTACGATGTTGTGCGGTGCGGTACGGTGTTGTGTGGTGCGGTGTTGTGTGGTGCGGTACGGTGTTGTGTGGTGCGGTGTTGTGTGGTGCGGTACGGTGTTGTGCGGTGCGGTGTTGTGCGGTACGGTGTTGTGCGGTACAGTGTGGTGTTGTGCGGTGCAGTACGGTGTTGTGCGGTGCGGTGTTGTGCGGTGTTGTGCGGTACAGTGTGGTGTTGTGCAGTGCGGTGTTGTGCGGTACAGTGTGGTGTTGTGCAGTGCGGTGTTGTGCGGTACAGTGCGGTGCTCACCGGCGCTCTGCTGGGACTTGACGAGACGCGTGGCGCGGTCGATGCACACGATGAGGCAGCCCGTGACCTTGGGATCGAGCGTGCCACTGTGCCCCGTCTTGTCGCAGCGCAGGATGCGCTTGATCCATGCCACCACTTCGTGGGACGACGGATTGGCTGGCTTGTCCAGGTTGATGAAGCCCGTCCTGGCCGCAACCACCGCAATCATCACAAGCACGGCAACCACAATCACAACCACCGCAACCATCACAACCACCACAACCACCGCAACATCACAACCACGGCAACCACAATCACAACTACCGCAACCATCACAACCACCACAACCACCGCAACATCACAACCACGGCAACCACAATCACCGCAACCATCACAACCACAACCACCGCAAGATCACAACCACCACAACCACAATCACTGCAACATCACAACCACAATCACAATCATAACCACCGCAACATCACAACCATAATCACAACCACAATCACCGCAACCATCACAACCACAATCACAACCACCGCAAGATCACAACCACAACCACTGCAACATCACAACCACAATCACTGCAACATCACAACCACGGCAACCACAACCATGGAAACCACAATCACAACCACCGCAACATCACAACCATAATCACAACCACAATCACCGCAACCATCACAACCACAATCACAACCACCGCAAGATCACAAACACCACAATCACTGCAACATCACAACCACAATCACAATCATAACCACCGCAACATCACAACCACAACCATAATCACAACCACCGCAACCATCACAACCACAATCACAACCACCGCAAGATCACAACCACCACAACCACTGCAACATCACAACCACAATCACAATCATAACCACGGCAACATCAGAACCACAACCATAATCACAACCACAGCAACCATCACAACCACAATCAAAACCACCGCAAGATCACAACCACCACAACCACTGCAACATCACAACCACAATCACAATCATAACCACGGCAACATCACAACCACAACCATAATCACAACCACAGCAACCATCACAACCACATGATGACGATGGTTGCGACAACGATGGTGAATTGGCGAGGACGTCATCCAGCAGTGGATGGAGCACGGTGGTGGCAATGATGATGGCAACAATGGCGATGATGGCGGTGGTGGCAGTGGCGACGATGGTGGTGGTGAGGATAGTTGCGGTGATGGTGACGATGATGGTGGCGATGACGATCGTGCCGATGGAGGTGACGGTGGGAGCACTCACTTGATGTACTCCTGCAGCTCGCGTTTGAGTGGAGAGGCTCCGCTAGGGAGCGGCGTGTAGTGGGTGGTGCGGACGTTCAGACGGTCAAAATTCTAGACGGGACCGTGGTGGGTCCGGGGATGGGGGGTGGGGGAGAAATGGGGAGGGGGGTGGAGAGAGAGAGAGAGAGAGGGAGGAGAGGGGGGGAGATGGAGAGAAAGGGAGAGATGGAGAAAAACAGAGATGGAGAAAGACAGAGATGGAGAAAGACAGAGATGGAGAGAGATGGAGAGATGGAGAAATACAGATGGAGAGAGAGAGATGGAGAAAGACAGATGGAAAGAGAGAGATGGAGAGAGAGAGATGGAGAGGAGGGAGATGAGAGAGAGATGGAGAGGAGGGAGATGAGATGGAGAGAGATGGAGAGGAGATGAGAGAGATGGTGAGAGAGAGATGGAGAGAGAAATGGAGAGAGAGATGGAGAGAGAGAGATGGAGAGAGATGGTGAGAGAGATGGTGAGAGAGAGATGGAGAGAGATGTAGAAAGACAGATGGAGAGAGAGACATGGAGAGAGAGAGATGGAGAGAGAGATGGAGAGGAGGGAGATGAGAGATGGAGAGAGAGATGGAGAGGAGGGAGATGAGATGGAGAGAGATGGAGAGGAGATGAGAGAGATGGTGAGAGAGAGATGGAGAGAGAGATGGAGAGAGAGATGGAGAGAGAGAGATGGAGAGAGATGGTGAGAGAGAGACATTGATGAGAATTCGCCTGCTGCCAGTAGTGGGCGATGACTGATTGCTGCTGTGGTCTCGTCTATGGGCACCCCCAGTGGCAGCTGTCCCTGTGCATTCAGTCTACTGCCAGTAGAGGAGTGTGTGATGACCGATTGCTGCTGCTGTGTGGTCTAGACCGAGGGGCACCCCCAGTGGCAGCTGTCCCTGTGCCGCTGCCCACTGCCAGGAGGGGGATGAGGGCTGGCACCTTGAGCAGCAGAGGCCACTGTGCCGAGTTGAGTTTGGCCACCGTGGACTCGGAGGGCTTGATGAGGAAGTCTCCGTGGTGCTGAATCTCCTACGGACACACACAGGGGGCGAGTGCCGTTAGCGAGCAGCAGCGCCTACGAAGGCCGCCACCGTGGCACACGAGGGGGTGGGTGGGTGGCCGGCACCACGCCCGGCCGCCTTTGTCTTCCCCAGTGGCGATGTTCACAACGCACCGCTCCACCCGGTACTCGATTGAGGACGAGTCGATCCCGGGGAGGGGGCCCAGGACCGGTTCAGATATTTATTAATTGGCGGCCGTGAGCGGGAATCGAACTGGGGCCTGTGGCGGGTTCGGAGCGCAGCGTGTGTGTAGGTGTGTAGGCGTGTGTGTGTAGGCGTGTGTACGTGTGTAGGTGTGTGTAGGCGTGTGTACGTGTGTGTGTAGGTGTGTGTGCCGAAACAGCTTTTGTTCGGCCGGATTGAGGGGGCTAAGCAGGCACGGCACGGGCTAGAGAAGAGATGGAGTGACATGGTACAGGAGGACGTGGAGCTGAGTGGACTTGCCGATGACTGGTACCAGCGGTGTCAAGATCGGCCTCTGTGGAGGAGGCTCGTGAAGGACGCTACTGGGCAGTTGGAGGCAGTCGCCCTCCAATAACAACGGAGGGCGGAGTAGCGACACTCACAACAACGAGCGGAGCGCCGGGTGGCTAAAGCACAGCAGGTTGGCACAGTAGGTGGCACAGGTGGTGCATCAGCCAGTCATCTCAGTCAGTCGACCTGTCGCATCTGGGTCTGCCCCGTGACCTCCTGCCCGCGGGCGTTCGACACTTCACGTGGCCTCAGGGTGCACATAGCCTGGCACAAGCGTCGTGGTGACGTCACCGCCACTTAGTGGCGAATGGCGGTTGTTAATGTTGTGTAGCTGTGTGTGTAGGTGTGTGTGTGGTGTGTGTGTGTGGTGTGTGTAGGTGTGTGTGTAGGTGTGTGTGTAGGTGTGTGTGTAGCTGTGTGTGTGTAGCTGTGTGTGTGTAGGTGTGTGTGGTGTGTGTGTAGGTGTGTGTGTGGTGTGTGTGTAGGTGTGTGTGTGGTGTTTGTGTAGCTGTGTGTGTAGCTGTGTGGTGTTTGTGTAGGTGTGTAGCTGTGTGTGGGGAGCGATAGTGGGGAGCGATAGTGTAGCGGTAAGCGCGCTGCGCTATGAACCTGGCGACCCGGGTTCGATTCCCGCTCACGGCCAACACCAGTGACAATTATCTGAACCGGTCCCGGGCCTCCCCTAGGTCGACTCAGCCTCAAATGAGTACCTGGTGCGGTGTGTAAACATTGCCACCAGGGAGACAAAGGCGGTCGGGCGTGGTGCTGGCCACCCACCCCCTCGTGTACCGTTCCGGCCTTCATAGGTGCTCGCTAACAGCACTTGCCCCTACAGTCTGTTAAGGCTATATGGGGGATCTTTATCTTTGTAGCTGTGTGTGTAGCTGTGTGTGTGGTGTGTAGGTGTGGTGTGTAGGTGTGTGTGTAGGTGTGGTGTGTAGGTGTGTGTAGGTGTGTGTGTAGGTGTGTGTAGCTGTGTAGGTGTGTGTAGCTGTGTGTGTGTGTAGCTGTGTGTGTGTGTGTAGCTGTGTGTGTAGGTGTGTGTGTGTAGCTGTGTGTGTGTAGCTATGTGTGTGTGTAGCTGTGTGTGTGTAGCTGTGTGCGTAGGTGTGTAGCTGCGTGTGTAGCTGTGTGTAGGTGTGTAGCTGTGTGTGTGTAGCTGCGCGTGTGTAGCTGTGTGTGTAGCTGTGTGTGTGTTTGTGTAGGTGTGTGTGGGTAGCTGTGTGTGTGTAGCTGTGTGTTTGTAGGTGTGTAGGTGCGTGTGTAGCTGTGTGTAGGTGTGTAGCTGTGTGTGTGTGTAGCTGCGCGTGTGTAGCTGTGTGTGTGTAGCTGTGTGTGTGTGTTTGTGTAGGTGTGTGTGGGTAGCTGTGTGTAGGTGTGTGTGTAGGTGTGTGTGTAGCTGTGTGTGTGTAGCTGTGTGTGTGTAGCTGTGTGTGTGTAGCTGTGTGTGTAGCTGTGTGTGTAGCTGTGTGTGTGTAGCTGTGTGTGTGTAGCTGTGTGTGTGTAGCTGTGTGTGTGTAGCTGTGTGTGTGTAGCTGTGTGTGTGTAGCTGTGTGTGTGTAGCTGTGTGTGTGTAGCTGTGTGTGTGTAGCTGTGTGTGTGTAGCTGTGTGTGTGTAGCTGTGTGTGTGTAGCTGTGTGTGTGTAGCTATGTGTGTGTAGCTGTGTGTGTGTAGCTGTGTGTGTGTGTAGCTGTGTGTGTAGCTGTGTGTGTGTAGCTGTGTGTGTGTAGCTGTGTGTGTGTAGCTATGTGTGTGTAGCTGTGTGTAGGTGTGTGTGTAGCTGTGTGTGTAGCTGTGTGTGTAGCTGTGTGTGTGTTTGTGTACCCCGATCTCGCGGTCCTGCAGCTCTCCCTTCTTCTTGCCGCCTTTCTTCTCGCGTGCATCTGTGGGGGTCACCGTCACCATCACCGTCACCATCACCGTCACCATCACCGTCACCATCACCGTCATAATTACCATCACCACCACCGTCACCATCATAATTACCAATACTAGCACCAGCACCATCACCGTCATAATTACCAATACTACCACCATCACCGCCACCGTCACCATCACCGTCATAATTACCAATACTACCGCCATCACTGTCACCATCACCACCACCATCACCACCACCATCATAATTACCAATACTATCACCATCACCGCCACCATCACCACCACCACCACCGCGACCATCATAATTACCAATACTATCACCATCACCATCACCGTTACCAACACCATCATCTCCAAAGACAAAGATCCCCCGTGTAGCCTCCAGACTGTTGGCGCAAGTGCTGCTAGTAGCCCGGCCACCTTTGTCTCTCTAGTGGTGATGTTTACTGCACCCCATCACAGCCCATTCCACACCACCACCACCACCACGTCACTATTCATATCCTAGCAGGTTCCAAGGCCCCACTGAGCCACTTGGCTCTCTTTCATATCCTAGCAGGTTCCAAGGCCCCACTGAGCCACTTGGCTCTCTATTCATATCCTAGCAGGTTCCAAGGCCCCACTGAGCCACTTGGCTCTCTTTCATATCCTAGCAGGTTCTAAGGCCCCACTGAGCCACTTGGCTCTCTTTCATATCCTAGCAGGTTCCAAGGCCCCACTGAGCCACTTGGCTCTCTTTCATATCCTAGCAGGTTCCAAGGCCCCACTGAGCCACTTGGCTCTCTATTCATATCCTAGCAGGTTCCAAGGCCCCACTGAGCCACTTGGCTCTCTTTCATATCCTAGCAGGTTCTAAGGCCCCACTGAGCCACTTGGCTCTCTTTCATATCCTAGCAGGTTCCAAGGCCCCACTGAGCCACTTGGCTCTCTTTCATATCCTAGCAGGTTCCAAGGCCCCACTGAGCCACTTGGCTCTCTTTCAGAAGCGACCCCCGGGCGATCATTCACCACGTGGTGGTCTACAGCAGCAGCCGAATACTCTCAACACATATGGAGACGCAGACTCCAAATATACAGCAGCAGCAGCTGGCCTCGTCAGGGTCGGGATCGAACCCACGACCTCCTGCACACCAGGCGAGGTAGTCAACATCTCATAGCCACCGTGATGATGAGGGAGAGAGACGCAGACTCCAAGTATACAGCTGCAGCAGGCATCGGGATCGAACCCACGACCTCCTGCATACCAGGCGAGGTAGTCAACATCTACCAAGACCCAAGAATATTAATTCCTGCAGTCACGAAAGCTTCAGGTCGAGGGCGACCTCGCCACGTGTCACAGCCCCCCCCCCCCCCGTACCACACCAGAATCAGTGTGTAGACTGCACGCGGAATCCGAAGAGCTATAAAGCTCTTTGTTTACAGATGTCCAGTAGAGGGATGGGGTAAGAACGTCACACACACGATACTCACAAACACGAAACCGACACGCACGAAACTCACAAACACGATACTCAAACACAATACACACACGACACACACACACACGATACTCACACACACGACACTCACACACACGACACTCACACACACGACACTCACAAACACGACACTCACACACACGACACTCACACACACGACACTCAAACACACGACACTCACACACACGACACTCACAAACACGACACTCACACACACGACACTCACACACACGACACTCACAAACACGACACACACAAACACGACACTCACACACACGACACTCACAAAACACGATACTCACACACACGACACTCACACACACGACACTCACACAAGACACTCACACACACGACACTCACACAAGACACTCACAAACACGACACTCACGACACACAAACACGACACACACAAACACGACACTCACAAACACGACACTCACACACACGACACTCACACACGACACACACACACGACACTCACACACACGACACTCACACACACGACACTCACAAACACGACACTCACACACACGACACTCACACACACGACACTCACAAACACGACACTCACACACACGACACTCACACACACGACACTCACACACACGACACTCACAAACACGACACACACACACGATACTCACACACACGATACTCACACACACGATACTCACACACACGATACTCACACACACGATACTCACACACACGATACTCACACACACGACACTCACACACACGAAACTGACACGCACGAAACTCACAAACACGACACTCACATGCACGAAACTCACACACACGATACTCATACAATACTCACAAACACGATACTCACAAAACACGATACTCACACACACGACACTCACAAACACGACACTCACAAACACGACACTCACAAACACGACACTCACACACACGACACTCACACACACACGACACTCACACACACGACACTCACACACACGACACTCACAAACGATACTCACAAACACGACACTCAGACACACGGCACTCACACACACGACACTCACACACACGACACTCACACACACGAAACTGACACGCACGAAACTCACAAACACGACACTCACACGCACGAAACTCACACACACGATACTCACACAATACTCACAAACACGATACTCACACACACGATACTCACACACACGATACTCACACAATACTCACACAATACTCACAAACACGATACTCACAAAACACGATACTCACACACACGATACTCACACAATACTCACAAACACGATACTCACAAACACGATACTCACAAACACGATACTCACAAACACGATACTCACACGATACTCACACACACGATACTCACACAATACTCACAAACACGATACTCACAAACACGATACTCACACACACGATACTCACACACACGACACTCACACACACGACACTCACACACACGACACTCACACACACGATACTCACACGATACTCACACACACGACACTCACACACACACGACACTCACACACACGACACTCACAAACACGACACTCAGACACACGACACTCACACACACGACACTCACACACACGACACTCACACACACGACACTCACACACACGACACTCACACACACGACACTCACAAACACGGCACACACACACACGGCACTCACACACACGACACTCACACACACGACACTCACACACACGACACACACACACGACACTCACACACACGACACTCACACACACGACACTCACACACACGACACTCACTCACACGACACTCACACACACGACACTCACACACACGACACTCACACACACGACACTCACAAACACGACACTCACACACACGACACACACAGACGACACTCGCACACACGGCACTCGCACACACGGCACTCGCACACACGGCACTCGCACACACGGCACTCGCACACACGGCACTCACACACACGGCACTCACACACACACGGCACTCACACACACACGGCACTCACACACACGGCACTCACACACACGGCACTCACACACACGGCACTCACACACACGGCACTCACACACACGGCACTCACACACACGACACTCACACACACGACACTCACACACACGACACTCACACACACGACACTCACACACACGACACTCACAAACACGACACTCACACACACGGCACTCACACACACGGCACTCACAAACACGACACTCACACACACGACACTCACAAACACGACACTCACACACACGACACTCACACACACGACACTCACACACACGACACTCACACACACGACACTCACAAACACGACACTCACAAACACGACACTCACAAACACGACACTCACACACACGACACACACAAACACGACACTCACCAACACGACACTCACACACACGACACTCACACACACGACACACAAACACGACACTCCCAAACACGACACTCCCAAACACGACACTCCCAAACACGACACTCACCAACACGACACTCACAAACACGACACACACACACGACACTCACACAAACGACACACACACACGACACTCACACAAACGACACTCACACACACGACACTCACACACACGACACTCACACACACGACACTCACACACACGACACTCACAAACACGACACTCACACACACGACACTCACAAACACGACACTCACACAAACGACACTAACACACACGGCACTCACACAAACGACTCACACAAACGACACTCACACACACGACACTCACACAAACGACACTCACACACACGACACTCACACACACGACACTCGCACACACGACACTCGCACACACGACACTCGCACACACGACACTCACAAACACGACACTCACACACACGACACTCACACAAACGACACTCACACACACGACACTCACACACACGACACTCACAAACACGACACACACACGACACTCACACACACGACACTCACACACACGACACTCACACACACGACACTCACACACACGACACTCACACACACGACACTCACACACACGACACTCACACACACGACACTCACAAACACGACACACACACACACGACACTCACACACACGACACTCACACACACGACACTCACACACACGACACTCACACACACGACACTCACACACACGACACTCACACACACGACACTCACACACACGACACTCACACACACACGACACTCACAAACACGACACACACACACACACACGACACTCACACACACGACACTCACACACACGACACTCACACACACGATACTCACAAACACGATACTCACAAACACGATATTCACAATCACGACACTCACACACACGATACTCACACACACTAAGGAGTGAAAACTGAAAGTCAGGTGGAGATGTCCATCAAGGTTTGAGTGGATGTACTGTAAACACATTCATGCAGATTTAAATATCATCACCATCACACATCATCACCATCATCACACCATCGCATTATCACATCACCATCGCATCATCACATCATCATCACCACATCACCATCGCATCATCATCACCATCGCATTATCATCACCA